TTTTATTTAAAAAAAGTGTATCATATTTTGTGCTAGCCGGTTTGTTTCTGCAATCATCATAAAATTACTGTCTCATAAATGGATCATTACGACATAAAATTTTAAATGGTGATCATGACTGCAAGTATAGCTACTTCGAATTAGACAAAATTTGTTTTTATCTTAAAGCCATTAAGGACAGCTTGACAAAGTTAAAAGAGTTTTTGTCAATTTGTATAATGATTTAGTACTAGTCGTTTGATTATAATAATAGGGCTAATTAATGTAAAAGACATCCTGAATTCTGGCGAAGGTTTTCCTGTTTTTGTACAATTTTCTCCTTGTCTTTTACAATATTGTAGGCGTGTATTATCAAATTAATGTAAGTACGAGTAATAGTCGCTGTCTTAAGAAGAAGGAAGAAGCAATTGTCTCGAGATCTGACTTGTGAAACCTCTTAAAGCCATTTCCGATACAAATTGACATAAACCGCAACATCCTGTGATTCGAATCCAAAACATTTCGACATGGGAATTTAATTTTTCTGTTGGTTGAAGCAAAAATTGGTGGAAGAGGATGATTTCCCAAAACCGTCAGCAGCTATTGGCTGACAGCCACTTCCGTATTTTTTTTGTTTTTGTTAAAAAGATTTTAACATCTTCAGACTATAAGTATGAACTACTGACTAACGTCAAATTAAATATCATCCTAATGGTCCATCTACTTCTATAATTGTAACTTATGTAATTTTTCACAACAGTCACGAGAAATATACATTCCATTAACACCATTTTCTCGTGATATAAGTATATGTTGGAGTAGAATTAAGGTATGATCTCCGGTTTACTACAAAGTACATTATTTAAGTCACCATTGCGGTAGTATATACTAAAATTAATTGTAAGAAGTCTAGGTTCAAGAGACTATAGTTAAAGAAACCACAGATTTCTGGAAAGTAATCTAGTTCATTATAAAATTTTCTGATCAAATATATAGAGGTGTACATTTTTTCTTAAATAGGAATATAATATATTTTTCTTCATAAGACGGTTAAATATTTTTGTTTTATTGGATGAAAATTTAAATTTCAAAACTCTGAAATGCCTGATGTTTTCAAACGATTATGTAACAATTTGTATGCCCTGCATTTTAACAATTTTCAGTTAGTATCAAATCACATTGGCATACAGCCGCTACACAAGCAAGTCGTAGCCCTTATTGAACTATCCTTTTATTTTATTTTTTTTCATTGATTGTTTTTCTACAGCAACAACAAATCTGTACTAATAAATCTATATGTTTGGTCCATTTGCTGAATCGGTGGTCTCTAATAAATCAATTCAAGTTTAAAGCTTGCTATATTTTGTCGACAGTTGTTCATCGTTGGAAATCGCATGAGAACCGCTTAAATCCATTTTTTGTAGACTTCTTTGCTTGCTATTACCCTGCATTTACCACACACCTTTTGTTTTATATTTTATTTGTTACTCTTTGCTGCCACTTACCGAAATTTGTATTGTCGCCGACAACTGGTTTCTGTTAACATATGCTACCGGTGTTTTCCACCCACCCTGATTGTTCCTAATATTCCTGTAATCAAATTAGCAAAAATAAAAGCGATTATTTTATATCTTATATATATTTTAGCATGAATCTTACATGTTAATTGCGAATTTTTTGTTCCAAAATGCAACTATTCCTTAAAAATATTACAATAAAAAAATAGTACCCAGTTTACTGGAACTAAACTTATACATTGCCTGGAACTTTTTTTATTCAATTATATACCAAATAAAAGGTTTACAGACCAAAGAACGACGTACATAGAAGAAAACATGTTTCTTACCCTTTTTTTTTTAAACATGGTGTCCATAAGGTCACAAGTAGGTCATCTGGTACTAAACTAAAGTGATATCTAATTACTTATAACACAATCCTAGTTAAATATCTACAAAGGTCATACTAGAAATACAACTTGACTTTTTTCGACATATCTAATACTTATTGAGTATGTTTTTTCCAGTGTTGGGAGTCATTAACCGCATTTATTAAAAGGGACCATTAATATGATTTCCCAGTTTGTTAACTGCCCTCTAATAGAAATGTTCAGTATTAAAAATGTCTGTTGATCTATCCTCATGTTTCAATTTGATTAAAGGAGGCTTTTTTTCGAATGGAATAAAGTACACTGAGTTTAAACATATTTTATTTGCAAAAAAAAACAAAACACAAAAAGGATTACACACAAGTTAGTCCAACTTAGATCGTCTTCTCCTAAAGTACACTGAGCAAACGCGATAAAATGTGTATCATGCTGTTTTAATGTGTGGTAACACAAAATTCAACCTAGACACTCTAAGGATGATTCAAGCCAAAAAGGTTTTTTTATGAGTTTTAGACGGGAGACTCATTATTTGTGTTTTTTTATGATTTTAATACAGCCTTTCAAATTTCAAATTTGGTTAAAATACACGAACGAACCTCAGAAAGGTTCATATAGTTACGATATTCCGTGTTCCCATTAAAACAAATTATTCGTCTATTCTTCAATTATTCTTATTTTTCATTGTTTCTAATATTTTACTATATTGGAGAAAAAATATGAGCCATATTTCATATCTTCTTTTTCATTATATGATATATTGAAATTAATATCATCTACAAAAATAAGTAAAATAATATATAAATGTTTTGATTTAATCTATATTTATTTTATTCGCTTCTTAAATATTGTATTGACGTTGAACATCTGTCAGCAAATAAATACAATGTATTGCATTCTGGATGTACAATAAATGTCTTCTCCGTGGACATTTAGGATTAACAGCCGCAAAGGATGACACGAGTCGAGTAGATCGCATAACAAATTACACTATGAATTTCATATGGTAATCCAAAGCTTGTTTCTAAATTGTTCATGATTAAATGTAATCAGATATGTTCGATACCGACTTTATCAATTTAATATCAGACTATATGTTTCACATCCTTTCTTTAAAAAAAGTCAAATACAATCAGTGTATCAAATTGTCCGTAATTCATCTGGTAAACTTTGAAAATAAACCAACAAAGGCGAATCGTTTTTTTAAGTAGATTTCTTTTGTCTTTATTTAAAAAAAAAACGTATATTGTATAGTAATAAAACAGCATGTTTCCATTTGTGTGTCTTTCATATATGCGTTGTTGGATTGCTGTTTTCATTGACGTTTACCAAACAGCTCCTTTCATCCCATTTGATTCGGCAATAAGTATCTATTGCTTTGTTGACAATGTATACATAATGTTTCACCGTCCTTGACGAGTAAGTTCTAGATTTTAATAAGTTTGAAGTTTGTTAGCTAGAATAGAGAAAGGGAACGTAGAATGTGTCACAGAGACAACAACCCGACAAAACAGCAGAAAACAGCCAAAGACCACCAGTGGGTCTAGCTGGTTCACCGGCTTCCTGTTTGTCTAGTTCACTTTAATAGCTTCGCAATAACAAGTGTTCTACAACACCTATATCGAACATTAAATCCTTATCTGTACACCAAATACGCATTATATATACTAACGGAGTGAGTAATACAAGTATATGATTCAATGCCGAATCAAAAATTTAAAGTTTGCACACAGCAAACCCGGTTTCGTCTAAAATCTAATTCCTACTATAAAAAAAAAAATAGGAAAAGTGAGCTTCTGAATAAACACTGAAGCTAACACTGCAATGTTACAAGACTCCAACAATGTACTAGAGGCCTTTCGTTGGTTTTGATTTGATAGCTTCATGTACTGAATATTCAACTACATATGTAACTGTACTGATAGCCATTTGATAGTGTTCTTGTAGGTGTTAAGGAACACATTTTCAATATTTGCGACAAGCTTATGTTTATATAGTTCTGGACTGGTGTGTAGAAAAATTTTCGAAGTCGTACACATGGTGCGTTATTTTCAGTAATAACTGTTATAATTTATGTACTCTTTATGCGACACTTCAACATGTACATTTGCAAACCAGTTGGCTCCTAAGGAGTCTACATATATCAACTGGTTCGATGTAAGTGTGTATGCAGTGATGTCTCTAATTTCAATGAACGTAATACGCGTATTTAATTACCCAAAAGCTTTTCAAGAAGGATATATGAGATGTCATGAATTGGTTAAAACTTCCTCTAAATTCTAGCACCAAATTAGGGCTGAATACATTTTGAAATATTATTTTACTTCTTGAATTTCTTTATACATGACTCTCACATACAGCTGTTTAATCGTAATGTCATTCAAAAGCAAATAAGTTTATTATTGTCCTTCAAATTTTTCTATATAGCATTCCACATAAACTGATATGATTGATGTTTTGTGATTTGTAATTTGGGATTGATATTGGCCCCCTTATTTATAGTTTCAAAAGCGAATGGTCGCAATATTTTTCTTTCTTTTCTGTGTCGATAAATTTACTTTTGGTATTGCATAAGATAGTAATGTTCTGCACTGTTTATGACGTTGGTGTAACACCAATATTATGGTCAAGAGCATTTCTTATAGAATTATTTTTACTGTAAGTGTGCCTTTGCACCTTTTATTATTCCAAGTGACAAAAAAGTGTGGCAAATATAGTTATCCCAAATGTAGTTTAACCCAACTAGATGTATAAAATAAATATTTTCCACTGAGAAGACTCCGAGAAGAAACTTATTCAATACTCGACCTTTGTATTTTCCTTTGTAAATGAAATAAGTATCCTATGGAAATAGTTAATCGTAATACATTGCTTAAGAAACTCTTTAGCCATTTTTGTCGACCTTTGATCTGCAGTATATTTAATAATTTGAAAGTAATCAATGTGTTCATTCAAGGGCGAAAGTACATTTTGAATCTGTTATAAAATTACATAATTAGAAAGATAATCTTTCGAAAACTTTATACACTACTAATTACTTTTTTGAATTTTGACATGTCGTTCGTCATAATTTAAATTTTTAGTTAATATATCTGTTTGTGGTAGTGTGTTTGTTTAATCACTTTTCGTTTTCTTTCAGCAGTGATGGATTAGAGGACTGCAGGGCACACAAAATTCCAATGAACTTTAACCCCCATCAGCATCTCCCTCAGCCAATGTGGACCAACCATCAGGACATTATGATGAATGATTACAGAAATGACCATAATATGGAAATGAAAATGCTAGATGACTTCCGACACAACATGACATTGGCGCCAGTAAAAAATGAACCAATGGTACCGCCTCATTTTCTGTGCGGACCACCTCTAGATCATCCGCATAGACTTCATCATCCGATTTCATCGGTGTGATAACTAATCAAAATTGAAAAATGTGTTCTATTTTTTGTGTATTTAATTCTGTGTCCTTTGTTATGTTAAGTATTGTATTTCAGAAGTTTTATAAGATATGTTAAGCAGTCAAAACTAATGTATGGAGACTGTTTTATTTTCAATTTGTTTAACTAAAAGGAGACTAATACAACGGATACTAGATTGTTCTATCATTATTGTCAAAATTAATCTTTATTAATGATTAACGAAACGAAACACCCAAACCACCCACAAACTAAATTAAATGAAATTAACAAGAAGATGGTAAATGGCTATATGTATGTCAAATGGTAACGACCAAGGATGTAAACGCAAATTTGAAATTCACAGCCGAGTTTAAGTTTTATATGAGTTATAGATTAAACTTCAATGAGACAGAAACTAAAAAAACCTAACACCAAAAGACATTATGTTGTGTATGATATACAATAAAGAGTAAGAAATAATCTTCGGTTAAAAGTAACTAATTATTACTATTACTATTATTATCATTATTATTATTGCTTTGCTTTGGAGACATAAGTAGATTACACTTGAAAATTCTTTACAAAACTTGATTTAAAAGAAGAAGTATTGCTTAGACTACAATAGGTCCTAGTGATATGTACTAAAACAACTCTTATCATTAAATTTTACAATTATAATTAATCGCCTACGTAAGCTACTAGTATTACAGAAGGGTTAAACTAGTTGGGTTTTGTTTGTATGTTTTTGTTTTTGTTTTTGCTGTTTTTGTTTACCTTTATTAATATTTTGATGGTTATACATTTTGGCTTGTTCATTGAACATGGAATAACAAAGAAAATAAAACAGTTTCAAGACAAAATATTCCAAATTATGGCTTTCAAACTTTGGATTTGGCGGACGGAACATGAATATAAAATAGCCCCGAAATTGTATTATGACAAAACAAAATTGTGAAAACATCTCTACCACTCTACCAAATAAGAAATAACCTAAAATTAGAATTTAGACGTATACTTGATGTGGTGTTGATCAATTTTTGCTTCTGTGTAATCATATAGTTGTAATATCAACTGTCATCGAGAAAACAGTATATTTTTTTTCTATTTTCATGAAACACATTTACATTGGCACAGAGGTTCCTCGTACAACTGATAATTTCGGATGGCCAATAGTAATTCTCGTTAGTTAATCAATGACCATTAGTAAAGTCCTTCGAATCGCAGTAATTAAAGGGCAAAACTACATATATGAAACATATAAAAGAACATTTCAAAACGACAAAATGATAAAAATAAGACAATTAGTAGCCACGATCAGTTTAATCGGAATGCGCAAGTGAAAACCTTTAAACAATGATTCACAAGTTTGGAGTTGTCTTTGACAAAAAATACTAAAAAATAAAATTATTATAGTAATAATTAAAGCAACAACAAAATACCTGTATGTATTTTGTGTATAGTATATCTGAAGTAACGTATGACCCGACACTATTGTCAACGAGGTTTGTGCCTGAAATATTTAGCGGCTATATCAGATTCGGCTTGTGATTTGTAATTATGTTTCGTTCTGTCCATATTTCATTATATTTTGCATAAATTCTTTAATTGGCGATACGAATATTAAAAGTTACAGATATTTTATTCAAGTTCATTATTCCATTTCAAATTTATTCATGATAAACATAGAATCTTCTCAACTTTAACGCTTTGCATGTCATACAACTCAGTACAGCACAAATGATGATCCCAGAGCTACATGTAGCAATGTATTAAAATAAGTCTAAGCAATGTCAACCTGAACAGCATTTTTCTTTGCTGTATCTGTTACTGACATTGTCAAAATATATCTTTAATGTACCAATACAATGAGTAGCATATAATGTATTTCAAAGAGTATCAGGTATAATAGCTACTTTTACCAGTGGATCATGGAATCAATGTATTTCTGCATAAAAAGAAATGCAGACATTTATGTTATTCATTTATGAGGGGCCTGATGGGTTATTTTCGTTCTTCGTGATCCGTTTTTCTACAGATTTCTTTTTTTTATATTTTCGTGATCCGTGATCATGGAAATTTATTTTCTGTGAATCGTGATTGACAAAAAAATCAACTCGTGAATCGTAATGAGACCCCATCAGGCCCCTCATTTATGCTATGTTATGCATGTGCAATTCAATTTCATACAGAAAAGGATTGACAATAAATGTTAACGTATAACGTTACCCAAAAGATACATTTGTATTTTATCGTGCATCTTCAGAAGACAAAAAAGACAATTAACTCAAACAGCTGAATAGAAATAACATGAAATCTGTTGCATCCAAAGTTTTCAGAGACGTTAATTTGTCAAATGTAACTTTTTTGGAACTTTAATGGATTTTTTTTATATAAAAAGTATTGGAGCAGCACATAGAAATAACTGAAAGACAAGACATGTATACAAAACGACAATGAAACTGAAAGCATCATTTTAGACACTATGAATTCTATGAATTCTTAACAGAAATTAAGTAGTTCTATTGTGTGTTTTGTAAAAGCTATCATATCCTGTCAACAATAATTTGTATTTTTAACAACTCGCTATTGAAAACTTGTCGGAAATGTTCTTAAATCTGCATTCATACATGCATACTGTAAATGTATTTGTTATTAAATATGGAATAACAAGGAAAAATAAAACAGTTTCAAGACAAAATATTCCACACTTTTATTTCTATAAAAACATCGGCTATTCAATGTTGTTGCGAATGACAAACGAAACTAATGTTACTATTTCGTTTTACGTTTTAAAAATAATAAAAAAAGTTGTTATGCAATTAATGTCCTTGAAAGAAGGAAATATTTGTCCCGACAGACGTTAAGCAAACTAAAATCAATCAACCAATTTATATTGCACATTAACATAAATCGTGGAAATGTTCCAATATCGGTAGAATGTATAGGTGACGGCGTAGTTGTTTACATCCATACCCTTTAGTCCTTGCTTGATCAATCGTACCACGTCTCCTTTTTTATACATGTACATTATAGACCATCGGAAAGATGGGAATAGTCCTTCGCTGTGTGTTATTTTACACAGATAACGAACAAATATATTGTTAAAACGTTCGTGTTTTCCCAAACAAATTTAGCATATGAAGTCTTTAACGGACGATACGAATCCGGAAAGCCAGTGTTTTTTTAAAGGGAGTTTCCAACGAACATTTGGACCCCCGTGTATAATTGTCTCTTTGGTATTCACACCACATCTCGTCACTGTTATATGGTGTATTGTTTCATGACATGGAATCCCTACTTGCGTTTTAAAAGCCAAAACAGCTTAAATGCTGTTCTTCATTTTAAAAGTTGCAAAATAGGAGTAACATATCACGCCTCAATGAAACTTCAAGACGACCACAATCAACAGTTTGAGCGGAATTGTTTGTTAGATGTCGGTGATCGCGCGATGTACATGAAAATTAAGCAGCGGAGTAGTATCAACAAAATATAAACTATCGGGCAAAATATCTTACATAAATTCCCCTACAATCTCTCTTCCAAATTTAGACACATATATGGTCTATATAGGCATGGAGGGAGGTTTTTGCGGACGTAAAACTAATTTTACCCTACCACATTCTAATCCTGTACCAAGTCCGGAATTCTAGAGCAAGTATTAATCATTGTTGTTTATTTTTTTTTAAGTGCGTCTGTTTTTTTTAAGAGGAGTTCGGTGTTTGGGTGATCTGTGGTCCTGTCGAATATTTTTGTGACTTTTTTGTAATCCTTTTTAGGTCTTATTCAACAACAATAAAACAAATATTAGGCTGGCCAAGGAGCCACTGGTAACGTAATGATGTTAAATACCGTTTAGTATCCCCTTTCGTATAAACACAAACAAAATATATGCATCAGTACAATGCTATCAGACAATTTTATTAAGCAATCTTGGTGTCATTCAGTATTATTTTATGCAGCGTTCAAAACATCACCATTTTTCAATCAAGTGATTTTCTTTGTTATGGTTTTATTTGTATTTTGTAGTGCTTCTTTCATTGATCCAGATAAATGGAGGAGTGAGTACTAATGAATATCATGAATGAAAAATTATATTTGGTATATGCCAATTAGACAGCAACCCAACAACACAAAAATACCTAGAATTCAATGTATATAATTCTCAACAATAAACAAGTGTCTATACATACAATATATCAATATCTGAATCGCCTCTGGTAATAAACGATTTGAATAAATTAAATAAATAAAGATCTGCTATCAATACAAGATACTCCAAATATTAAAAACATTTAAAGATATAACATACGACAACGACACTAGGTTTCTGACTTTAGACAGACACATAATCACGTAAAAGGATTCAAAAAGTTCTATACAAGTTATAAACCCTTTCCTGTTTTTAAATTTCGGTCAGTGACTAACAAAAGTTACATAAAACATAAAAACTAGTTTTATAGCAAAGGTAATGAATATAAAAATAAGGAAACGAGGCAACTATGCACAAGTGGCCAAATAACGAGGATGTCATCAACTCTATAATATTGTGGATGTAAGCAATTATAGGCAACCGTACTGCCTTCAACAGTGAGAAAAACCCATACCGTATAGTCGGCTATAAAAGGCCCCGACATAAAAAATATGAAAGAATTCAATTGAGAAAACTAACGGTCTAATTTATAACAAAAATTATAACAAAACAATTTACGAAAAACAAATGCTAGTATGACAGACAAGAACCAACGACAACCACTGAACTACAGGCTCCTGACTTAGGACAGACACATAGAGAATGTGTGTGTTGGGAGGTAAACATATTTGTGAGCGCTCAACCCTCCCCTAGCCTTGGACAGTGGTGTAACAACACAACATAAGAACACACTATAAAAATCAGATGAAAAAGGGCTCAACTAATCAGATCGATACAAAGCAGAAAAACATCAAACAAAAACACAGACCCATACGTGGCAGGGTATTTATCCATCCCTCATCCCTAAAAACAAAAAAGACACTAAGTACAGATCTGAGAGTACTCGCCGTTACTGACAGCTAGTTCAAAGCCAATAACAACTAAAAAAAATATGTATCTTAGACTAAAAAGTTCAGTTACTGAAAGCAACATCAAAAGTACTAACCTGCTAATGTTGAAATCGTGTCGCGAAGCTAGTTTGTCGATAGTTACTTCTGCCTTTTTAAAAATTTGGCTTCTCTATTATATAAAAAAAACCATCAAATATTTCTGTGACACAACCAGACACCAAAACAATAGACCCGCACTATTCGCTATCTTGGCAGCTTTCTTAGTTGCATTTACACTAGTAGTCAGAACTATGGTTCAGTTGAAAAAAGTGAAGTTTTCTTTTTTATATTGACCTGGTAATACTTTATAAAATAAAGAGATGTGGTATGATTACAATGAGTTAACTATCCAACAAAGTACAAATGAAGCGGGTTAAAGCAGCCATAGGCGTACGGCATTCCACAATGAGCAAGCCCCATACCGTATAGTCAGCCTTCAAAGCCCCCAACAAGACAACATGTGAAACAATTCAAAAAGAAAAACCATAAGCCTGATTTATGAAAAATAATAACAGAAAAACAGACAGCAAACGACAACCACTAAATTACAGGCTACTGGCTTGGGACAGGTACATATAGAATGTGACATGGTTGAACATGTTTGTGAGCGCTCAACCTCATAACCTTGGACAGTGGTGTAACTGCACAACATAAGAACAAACTGTAAAATCAGTTGGAAATGGCTAGATTCATAAAATCGGAAGGATATCAAAACTAACATAAATACAAAAGATACAAACTGCCGATCTAAGAGTAATCACAGTTACTGAAAGCTTGTTCACTGCTATAAAATCACATTCTTCCAGACTAACGTATCAATCAGTACACACCCAGCGGATTTAGTGTAAAGACGTCATAAACAATCTGTTAAAGCAATACATTGTGCAATGCCAAAATATAAGTAAATAATAAGTAATTAAACTAGAGGATAATAAGCGGTCTCCTTTCAATAGTGTTGATGTTGTTTTGACCATAAACAACATAAAAAAATCGGGTTTTAATTTTCCAAGCAAAAACTATGAAGTTCTGCGGACTAGGTGGCTTTACTGTCAGATAGATTTCGAGAGTTTTTGTGTAATATATATATGCGGTTAAATTAAATTCAACTTCTTACTTATGATCATTTTTATAATTCAGTAAGTCTACTCTACGCTGAACTGTCAATCCTGACCAATACTTAGGGTTTCTGGTAGGCAGGCACAAGAAACAGAATAATTTAAAAACGACACCAAAAATATATAAGCTAGTGAAAATAAGAATGAATAAAAGAGAAAAACAAATGTGAAAAAAATTAGGAAAACACGGGTATCCATTTGCTCTAGATTTATCTTCGCAGAATCAATCCGACTTCAGTGGCGCTATCAGTTAATGTTTTGAAAGATACCAATGAGTCAGACTCTGCTACTATAGCTGTCAAAGAGTTCCCAGTTATCACTGTTCTTGGTAAAATGCTGTACTTTATTGGTCTTTGTTGTTGAGTACTTCCTTAATTGTTTAGTATGTGTTGTTCTTGTACTTGTTGTCATTGTCCCATTGTATGTATCTTTGCAACATAGGTATTCGTCTTTGTATCAGTATTTGTTGTTCTAAGGTTTCGTTTAAAGTTCATTCCCAAAAATCTTCTCCTATTCTGTCATTTTTTATAGGTCTTCTGGAAGTATATCTGTATCAGCGATGGATGCATTGTTCTGTATAATATGCACTCATCGATGAATACTAATAGTCGTGTACTGTGTAAGATGTTATGTTGTCAGGTAAGACAATAGAATGAACAATAATGGTCCTTGTGGCCAGGACTCCACAGATCACAAGAGCTTTCTCTGAATATTCTCCTTCAACGATGACATGTTGGGTACAACTCAGATAAGAATGATGAATCTAGCCGTGTGTTTATCCAGTAATTTCACAACTTTGCAGCTTGTTTAGAAAAGCCGAGTATGACCATATCAGTCTCCTCTCCTCCTCTGTTTAGAGCTGATGCATGACTTCTTTTGTCGGGGCCGATCAGTCTTACTCTAACGATATAACATGTCTTGGAGCATTATATAACGTGAGCACGACTGACATTGGGTTATCGTAGATTGCCTCTAATAAACAACATATTTTATTAGTAAAACTTTATTTTCAATTTTATAAAGATGTGTTTTTATAATTCTGCTTTCAAAACTTGTTCTGGTATTTTACTCATACTGAACTATCTGATATCTTAAAAGTAAATATAATATATAGAAAAATATACATTGTCAAAAAATATAAAATTCATTTGTACTAGTCATAGAAACAGATAGAATGCGAGGCTTTGTCGGGTATTTTTATTCTGATTCGAGCAGAGTATAAATTAAAATTATTTATCGAGACAATATATGGTTGTTCTCTTTATACTGCAACTCTGACAAATGTACAAAATGAAGTATTTTGGGTAAAAACCACCAATTTTGAGTTTGAAGCGGACCACGCTAAACCTTTAATCTTTATTGAAGTATTCAAAAATTCTACGGAAATACATTATCAACGTCATAAACGAGGCGTTATACGGTAATTTAGAAAGTGTTAATCTCAATCACTATTAATCTCTATCCCATGTTATGTTTTATAGTTCTGTGTTCGCTTAAAATTACGGA